CTATGCCAAGGCTAACTCGGAATGTTTATCCGCAGCAGCCAGGAACCCAAGTCAATCGGCATACCTTCACCGTTGCATGTCACGGGCCCACCAGAACCGATCCGAGATCTAATGAGGCTCGTCTTACCGATACCCCAATATAGGCGGCAAGGCTTGAACAGACAGTCTTATGCAATACAGAGCTGTTGTGGCTGACTGTTGACCGAGCCATCATGAGCTACCCTAGGTAAGCATATGTTAAACCGCCATCAACCGAAAACCCCCGGCCCAGCGGACACTCTGTTTGCTTTCGCACCTTGATCTCACGTCTGTCGTTTCCTTCACCCGTCAATTTCGATCCTGGTGAGCATCCGCAAGAAATTCGCTTCAGAACGGAGCCACTGGCTTAAAAGTAATATCTTTGCTATTATTTTGCCTATTATGATTTTAGATGGCCATTGACGATAGATGAAGCGGAAAACCCGCACCGAACGATTCCGGGGATTCAAGTCACTCAGATTTGTTGCTGGTCACGCGTTGTGCCTTGGCATGTTTGCATTTTGTCTTTCCTCCTACTTCACAGCATTTCCCAGCCGATTTCCATATCTGCCGGCTGATGAGGAACGACCCATTTTAGCTTGTCGTCTAATACTGGTATGGATATTCTATCAGTTCACACGCGCCTGTGCTGTTCACTAACGAACGGTATTTAGGCTCTGTACATGTCGCCACAGGAAGCACAACCTCCCCATGACAGCGCCAATTTAACGATATACAGATCACAATCGTGGAAGCTTCGCACATCGGAGTGACTAGGTACCTACCAAACCTTAGGGCATCACTACCTACTTTGACCGACAGAGCATCGAGATTACATGCAAGATGCATTTTGAGCTTTTCCAACCGACAATGCAAATGCTGGCCTGGACCGGGCCACCGTAGCTCGGTCGGGGCGTATCGACAGGGGCAAACAACAAACTTCATTTAAACCTTGAGCGGGGCGCCACAAACGAATGACGGGTTGATACAAGTTCCACATGGAAAGGAGTATTCAGCCTCTCGGGAGCGGCGAACTACGTGCATAGGCGCATGGAACTGGCCTTGCGACTTTAAGAGGCTGCTTTTCTGCTACTATCCTGCCGCATCTTTGCCCCACACGAACAGAGAAGGCTTGCGACTCTCCGTTATCGCGGATAGATATCCGGTTGACGGTCCCCGGATCATGATCAAGAGATGTTTGCTATATACCATCGAGCCAAAAGCCGGTTTGTGTGACCATAGTCATCAGTACGCCCTGGAGGACTTACAGCCCATTTCGGGCTCTAGTTTTACCCCTGATGTCGGTCGACTGGGGCGTCTGCTGTAGATCCTGAACCATGGTTGGAATGGAGACGCCATCAAGAAGTAACACTCTATACGTTTTTTACTTCCACGTATGATACGAGATAGTTGTGGCTGTCTTGGGCAGAACAATTGTCGACAGACAAGAGAGCTGGGGAATAAACAAAACTTCCAAAGTAACGCAGACTAAAATTGTCACTCTGCTGGAACCCCTTTTCGAGAGCTCCCCATTAAGGATTGTAAGAAGTATAATTCGGTGCGGTCCTGAAAGTTTCCCGAAAGCCAAATCGGATTGGATGGAAGAAAAATCAAGTTACCTAATAAGCTTTTGAGCATATCCTATCTGGCATTGGCGAGACCATGACCATTCCTTACCTGCATCCCGAAGCAAGGGTTTACAGAAAATATGCAGAACGAAAGATGATGAGAAATACAGACGTAATCAAGTTTCTTCAGGAACTCCCGTCACGACCAGTCTAGTGAGACACGGAAGGAACGATAGAAGCAAGTACACAGACCCGGGCGGAGCACGGAGCACGGAGCATGGGGGGCCGGGCGCCGGACGGTGCCAAAAACCGGGCCCGGAACGGTACGGGGTTTGATTGGTGAGAACTGGAGCTAGCTTGGCTCAAAGCATAGCGCACGGGCCAACTGTGCGAATCTTGCCGACTTCTCGATTTCTCGCGGCAACGAGAGCAAACAAATCCCCGTTATCACGAACTCCCATCCTGGTGGTCCCCTCTCTCTCGCCATTGAGGGCTCCGCAAACCACCAGACCACCGTCAATTGGCGGACCCGAATATACGAGAGAGAACCAAAACAGAAACGTCAGCAACATGAACCGGCAAGCCGTCCATTCCGCCCTCGGGCTGCGCGTCGTCGGTACCACCACCACCACCAGCATCGCGGACCAGCTATCCTGTCGAACACTGGCAATTAGATCCTTCTCGACGACGACAAGCCGATATGACGAAGATGATTCCTCGAGCAGAAAAAACAACAACAACAACAACAACAACAACAACAACAACAGCAGCAGCAGCAGCAGCAGCACTGGCCGGCAACGATCGGCAGAAGCAGCGAGCAAGCTCGGCCAATTGGTCCGGCCGCCACGGCCTGCGGCGGCGAGCAGCAGCAGCAGCACTCGAGGAGCAGGAGCCGTCGATGCCCGTACCCTGGGTGCTGCCCCCAGCGCGGCGGGGGCCCCAAAGATCATCAACCTCCGGAGCTTGAACGAGCGCGGCGGCAGACTTGGGGGCATCAGCTTCACCGGTACACGCGGTCGCAACAGAAGCGGTCCTCCCGGCGCCGGCAGCGACCGGACAACAGTGGGCAGTTGGCTCCCTTCTCGAGACGGTGGTGCCAGCAGCAGCAGCAGCAGCAGCGGCGGCGGCGGCCGCTTCCGAGGAAGAGCACCAGGAGCAGGAGCAGGACGTGGCGGATTTCGGGCAGGTGGACGTGGTGGACGTGGTGGACGTGGCGGGCGTGGTGGTCGCGACGGCAAGCCTAACGAGCGGCAAAAGAAGACATCCGACGACAGGCCCGTGGATCGCCCGTGGTCGGAGGCCGAGATGAAGGTGCACGACCGCCTCGAGATGGGCGAGATCGTTCCCTACACGCCCAAGGTGACGCTCGACTCGCTGGTCGGCTACGGGCCGGCCCTGGCGCTCGACAACCCCCTCGCAAAAGTCGAGACGGTTGTCCGGAACATGCGCGTGTTGGGGGGTGGCCAGGCGTTCAACGCCGACTCGTACGTGACCGTCGACACCAAGGCGCTCACGAAGCGCTACTTCCGCGAGCGCGAGCCCATCTTCCTCAATAGCGTCGAAGAGAAGAAGTGGTTCGAGCGCAGGGTCGGCGGGTTCAGGGTCAAGGGCCCCAACGAGGTGACGAAGCAGGCGATTATCGATGCGACGCTTCGCGGCAAGTACGACGAGGTTGCGAAGCCGGGCGCTGGGTTCACGGATATTCGGGATGTTGTCGGCACGCTGACCAGTTATCAGTCGCGCGAGGTGTCGTACCGCGCCAAGCACAAGCAGCAGTTTACGGACAAGGTCATGTCGTTGCTGCCGGCCGCCGCGGCGAAGACTGCAGCAGCTGCTCCTCGCGCACCAAGGCAGTAGGGAGATTGATAAGATAAGGTGGCGGTAGTGTATATTACAAGTTGTGTTCAAGAAAAATAAACCATCACATAGATCTGTAACAATAAACTGGGCGGTAAATCTATATAGGCGGCACAAACCACCCACCATTGTAAGTTCTTTGCTATACTTGACTCGTTTCCCCGTGGTGATGGTGATATTTGTACACAGTCCCGACACGATGCAAATCTTTACCTAGGTACCTACCTGGTACCTCGGTTACCTCAGGTCCCCGATCTCTTTCAAGTTTCCGCCCATCTATCCTCAAACTGTAGAGACGCCCATGTCTCGGTAGTCTACCCAGACCTAGACTGAACATGCTGCAACGCCTCCTTCTCGCGTTGCGCGACAACCTTCATCCGGTCCTCCTGCATCTTCTGCACTTTCTGCTTCAACTTCTGCAAGTCATCGTCTACTATCGCGCCCTCAGCCCTCCAGCGCTTGTTCACCGTCTCCCGCTTGTGACTGAGCGCCCTGATCTTGTTGCGCCAGGCCAGACAGGTATCTTTCACTCGTTTGGCGAGCGCGTCGGCGCGTTCGGGTTCAACAGAAATCGTCAGCTCGAGCAGGTTGTCCTCGCTGCGCTGCGGCTGCTGGTTGAACTCGTCCGATTTCTGGATCGCGCTCATGATGGGCTTGACCGAGGCCTCTTCAAACGACAAAATGCTCCACTTGCGCCCGCCGAGCGGCGCGACGGTCGCCAGCTCGCGTAACGGAAAACTGATGGACGAGTTCTTCTTGTCCGGGTTGACGGGGATCGCGCCGATCACTTCGGCGTTGAAGCGGGCCCCGGTGCGTAGTTTCTTTAGCTCTTCGACGTGGTGCTGGTCCGCTTTGTCGAAGGCGTACGTCAGGTCGGCGAGCTCGAACGGCTGCTCCGGATCGGGTTGCGGTCCGGTGATTTTTTCTGTTGCTGGGCCTGCTTCTGATTTTGCTGACTTGTTGGAGTTTTTGGTTGCAACTTCGTCGTAGGATTCCCTCCCCTTGTTTCCTCTTCTCTTTGTCGCCGGCGCGGCGTCCTCAGCAGGCTCCTTATTCTTGGGTGGCCGTTTATAGTTCCTGGTCGTCTGGGAAAATGACCTGTGGTGTTGGGCGGGTGAGCCATGGCTGAGGTAGAGAGCTGTTGACAATTGACTTTGTGTAGTCGTGATGCTCGCGGAGCAAGAAGCTATTTGTGAGTCTCGTAGAAGCGGAGCTTGTCTGTCCAAGAGAGTGGCGAGTGTTAGCTTTAGGGAGTTTGAGCAATTGGGTGCCAGACATACAAGCAAGCCCCATTGCAGCTACCACGACTGCTGCGCAACAGCGCATTGGCAGCTCGGAGAGATTTCATGGCTATCTTGTCGAGCTTTTTGTCTCCGTCCTGGCTGATGTTGAAGCTTTTTGGCTTTCAGACAAAAGCTCTTTGTCACACCTTCGCCGGCTGCAGGGTCACGCCCTTGCATCCAACTGTACTAGCCAATCACCCTGGGGTAACCCGTAGTCCGTCAATCCTTCATCTAAGCTTCTATCCGGCGACAGACCCATCAATCACATTCCATTGGTTGCGTGGCCCAGTGGTTAAGGCATCTGCTTTACAGTGCATCAACTTTCAAACGGTTGTTCTCAGTGAACGCAGAGGATCGCAGGTTCGAGCCCTGCCGCGATCAATACTTTTTTGCTATTTCGATTTACATACACAAGCCTCTTATTCGATTCGCTTGCCTCCTTTTTGTCTCTGGTTTGTCTGGGATCGATATCATTCTTTCGCTCTTACTATGGCTTCCAAGTGCCTACCTAGTTGATTAACTCTGGGCTAATCTCGTTCGTTAATTTCGCTGCTCACGTCTATCCTTGACTTTGATGATAAAGGGGGAGGAGCGTGGTGCGGTTCAGTCCCGATATGAAGCAACGTTCATGATTTTCGTACAGCAAGAAATCGTTCGTCGAGAACCAACCAACAGGTAGTGTTTCGAAGGTTGCTACCAAAATAAAAAATGTTCACGTTAGGTAAGGGATATACAGTACTTTACTACGGGCGGCGGGGGCAGACCATGTTCTCCCATAACCCATGTATAGGTACCGCCTACCTACTTATCAGTTGTACTCCATGATGAAAGAAAGTAGATGCTGCAGAGAACATGTAAGGCTGATAAACCCAGCAAGAAGTCAAGTGTTGAACGATAATCTGACTAGGTACCTGACTCCATGACTAGCTAGGTAGAGCCAATGCAAGTCTCAAAGTCGAGATAATCCCAGAGTTAGAGAGAGGCTCCTATGATCACCCAACCCCAATTAACTCCCCATCAATAATGTCTCCATTAGCCCGAATTCCACTCCTGTGATGAAATATAACTCCTTGTCGACCCTGCCATGCCCAAATTGACAGATATGTAGCTCATATAGGCAGTCGAAACACCTTGACGCCATATTTTACCCTCCTTGAAAGCAAGCCTAATAGCTCCAGCCTTGAAAGAGGAGCGCCGCCCATGACCATGTCTAATAACAAAACAAATATTACTCTCCCGGACTCTGTTCCCGGACTCCTGGCAAGTCAGCTGCTCCTATCACAACATCACTTCCGGCCCGGTTCAGACTCCTAAACGTGTTTAAACAATCATCGTCTGAGCCCAAACAGTATGTCCTACGCAAGCACCAAATCATTTGCGTTGATTCCTCAACGACTCTTCCTCCAATCTTCCCACATTGGCCTCCGTTAACGCCTCACCAAAGTAAGACATCTTCGGTGAGGTTATTGAATGCGTCGTTGTACCCGGCCCGGCGGCATCCATCAGTTTGTCGTCGCGGCTCTGCAAGGCGGACTCGTTCTCCATCATCTGGTTCATGGGCGAGACGACGTCGTTCTCCAGCGAGCCTTCCGAACTTGCCTGAGAGTTTGACCTCGAGGGCGATGATGGAGTCGAGACGGTAAAGCCCGGAAAGTAGTCGGTGGTGGGAGCTTGGTCGGTGCTGGGAGGACGCGGTGTAGATAGATTGGCATCAGGCGAAAACTCCTCGTGGTCCTCTCCGCTCGGACGTGTTCCCGCGGTGGGGGTGATATCCTCTCTTGTCGGGTCATCGACGCCTAGACTAGCCCTAGATATGCGCGCATGATTGCACTGCCCGCTGGCATCAGAACAGCCAGAGCTGACAGACCCTTCCGGGGGCGAGGTATCAAGCCGTCTCGTTGTGAGCCACCTCACTAGCATACGCTCGAGTGTCTTGCTTTTGACGGGTTTGGCCAAGTAGTCATCCATGCCAGCCTTCTTGCACTTCTCCTTATCTCCTTGGATTGCAGAGGCAGTCATGGCGACAATGGGGATTTCGCTGACATAAGTCCGGTATGGAAGGTGGTTCCGGAGGAGATGTGTGCATCTATAGCCGTCGATCACCGGCATCTGGACGTCCATGAGGATGATATCTGGCATCCGTTTCGAACCTTCCTTGGCGGCAGCCACATACTCGAGCGCCTCTTTGCCATTCCAACAAGCCGTGACTTGAAAGCCCAGCTTCTTGATCGTTTTGGTGGCAATTTGTTGACTGATCGCATTGTCCTCCACAACCAAGACATGTACGTTAGATCGTTCGGAAAGAGGTAGCACATCACCCGGCGGAGACGAGGCAACAGCCGACAGGCTACTAATGGATGGGTTCCTCCAAGATGACCTCTGCCGATCCGATGGCCTTGGTGAGGATCCGCCTGGAGGTGTGCCAAGAAACTGTTCGTACTCGGAGCTGTTGCAGGAGACGCTCATTTCCGACTGTAGACGGTCGGGTAAAGCGTCAATCTGGACCTGCTTCGTCTCCTGTCGCCCTTGCGGCTTCTTGAATGGAATCCAAAACGTAGCAGTGGTCCCGGCACCCTGCCTCGACTCCAAAGTCATCCTGCCTTTCATCAACTCCAAGAGATTTTTGCAAATCGTCAGTCCGAGGCCTGTCCCTCCAAACTTCCTGGCAGTTGATGCGTCTCCTTGGCTGAAGGGTTGGAAAAGTCGTTTTCTGACGTCTTCCTCAATTCCTATGCCAGTATCCTCGATGACGAACCTGATCTCAATTACGTCCGAGTCTTCCCTCTCCATCAGGACCGAGAACTTCACATAGCCCTGATTGGTAAACTTGATGCTGTTGGTCAGCAGGTTGGTGATGATCTGCCTCACTCTTCCAGGGTCGCCCATGACGACGAGATCGCTTTCAATATCAAAGGCGACGTTCGATTGGAAGTCAAGGTGCTTTCGCTCCGCTGCAAAACTGAGCATCTTGTTCACATCTCGGATAACCACGGAGAGTGAGAATTGCACCTCTTCGATATCCAATCGTCCTGATTCGACTTTGGAGAAGTCCAGGATGTCGTTGATGACAGTCAGCAGCGCATTACCAGAACGGTAGATGTTCTCTGTGAGTTCCCGTTGTTCTTCCTCAAGCTCAAGATCTAGGAGCAGTTCAGCCATTCCAATGACTCCGGTAATTGGTGTACGAATCTCATGCGACATCTGTTAGAAGTGGATTAGCTTAAATAGAACTCCATCAACTTCAAGTCCATCGCTTACATTTGCAAGAAATTGGCTCTTCAGCCTGCTCGCCTCTTTAGCAGCCGCTTCGTTCGCCAACAACTGTCGCTTCTCTCGTGCTTGTGCCTCAATATCCCTCTCTCGAGCTTTTAGCTCCGTAACATCCATGATGAGACCAATTACTCCCTCGATCCCTGTGTCGGCCAAAATACCGTCGGGACTCTTTCCGAGAAGCGGCTGAAACCGGGTGCGATACCATCGCCCCTCTATGCTTTTCGTTAGTAGCTTACCAGAGATGAAGTCTGCCCAAGAATGGGTCAAGTACCCACCCATTTCATGCTCTTGGATATCCTCTTTTGCTTTCCCGCTCAAGACAGACTCCAGAGGTTTTAGGAAAGGCGGCATTTGGCCCTCGGGCAACTGGGAGTTGAGACGGTTGAACACGTCGTACACGTTCTCCCCGACATACCACTTGGAGCCATTGTTGTCACAATGAGAATCCCATATTAACGCGCCTTCCAACATGGTAACTGCACGGTTGAGGTCCACCGTGAACATTGTCATTCTCGAATGGGCGATGACACTTAGAAGCTGTTGGCGGGTTCTATTTGCTTCGAGTTTCGCTTTGATGCTCTCGTGGACGTCGGTACAGGTGCCTATGAAAACAGATGAGCAAACGAGTTTTCTTTTATCTTTCCACCCGGACCTGATATAATTAGCTATACGCACCAAACCATTTCTCGATCTCACCAGTCTGTTTGTTTTTTAAGGGCAAGGCTCTGCCGAGAAACCATCTCCATTCGCCGTCCTTCCTGCGACATCGGTATTCAGTCATATACGGCTCCCCGGTTTGTAGGCAATGTTTCCACCGCTTCTCGGTCTCGGCCATGTCGTCGGGATGAAATGGGTTCCTCCAACTTAGGCCAAGAGACTCCCCCTCGGATAGCCCTGTGTAATTATACCATCTGCTATTGAAGAAATCATATGAGCCGTCTGGGCCTGTGGTCCAAACCAATTGTGGCATTGTGTCACATATCAGTTTGAATCGTTCTGCATCGGCTGCCTTGATCTGATTGATCTCCTCGGTGAGCTTTGTGACATCTCTGCAGGTGACCACGCCGGCTAGGAACTCGCCCGTGTTATCGTCCGTAATTGCTGCCCCCTCGACGTCGAACACAAGGTTCTTTCCATGTCCATCGCGCATACCGATACGAAGGCCGGTGAAGGGGGTTTGTGTTCGAATTAGAACAGATATCGGGTATTCACTTGGATCAAGTTGTCTGCTAAAGTCGTCCGTCCATATCGTCCAGGCGGGCAGAAGATCGAATCCATCTAGAGGCTTGTCAAGATCCGCATCCTCATTGAAGAGCTCACGGGCTGCTCGATTGGGGAAGGTGACGCTCCCATCTTTCCACATCGCGACGACTGGTGTCTGTGTATTGTCAAGCAAGGCGTCCTTCATGACCGTAATTTTCTGCAAGATTGAGGGTGTGCTTGACGTTGACGATTTGGACGGAGGTCCGAGAGGCGGGAAAGGGCTAGAGGACAGAGAAACAGAACCGGGGCTGGCGGCAAAGGAGGGCGAACGAGACTCATGCGAATCGACGGATGAAGGCCCGCTCATACTAGATCTGTACCTCCTAGCGACCGATTTCAGTGTTTCCGGTCTAGTGACCAACGTGTGTTCGGCCGATGGGGTTTCCGGGCTTCGTTCGGTATGCGTAAATGTGAGTGTGAAATATGTCTGGCTGTCACTGATGTCCCAGGCTGAAATAATCATCTTCGCATACGCCTGAAAAGCCTCGCTCTTTGAGCGCACCGTAGAGTCGAAAGTTGTTCGACTGAAGTCTCGTGTTGAAATGACAACCTCTATAACGGCATTCGGCGATGGGTAGGGTGTCGTGCCGCCGAAATCTTGGCCTCGGCCATCACCAGCCGTCCGGGTCGGGGTCGTGCCACCGTCCTTCGCATAGACTGAGGCATCGAGGCGCTGCTTTCTATGCATGTGGCCGACTCCCATCTCAAGTGCGACTTGATCCAGGAACTGTTCCCAATCGATCCATACAGGTCCGCCATCTTGCATAAGGTCGATGCCAACCTGCGAAAGACTTTGGCCCCGGAGCTGGTCCATCACAGATGCCATACCATCAACAGCACCGGGT